TTGAACATTGTTGGGTTGTTTTCCGGAAATGCCCCAGTTTCACGACGAATGAGCTTATTACATCGATTATGGCCATGACAAGTGGAGAAGAAAACCGAGATAAAGTAAGCGCAGTGTAATTCAGCCGAGTCGCAGTAACAAGGCGGCAAGCTTGCGACCAATCGCTGGTATGAACATAGGATTAGTTTCGGCAAAAACAACCATTCCCTCCCCAAAAATGGTCCTCGTTACTCAAAGGTCCGCTGAAAGTGTTGCAAAGCTTCCACAGGACCAATTGGTAGTTCGAAGTGGTTTCTCAAAACTCCAGTCGTATTTGGTCCGAACATCTACTTGGCTCGTGACTTGGTAAAATATTTTGGCCCGCGGTCAAATTTTCTTCCAAGTCAAAAAGCACTGAGGCAAAATCCCATTCCAAACGCTTAAGATATGCAAACAAGGTATTCCAAATTTGGAAGAAAGAAAAATCCGGTGCCGAAGCCATTGTTGTGATTTTTGCCACGGACCGAGGCAGAACGAGGGAGGACGAAGGCAGAAATTTCACAGCGTTGTCAAGGTCTTGAAATTCTGTCTAGGTGCAACCAGAACTCACCACCACAACCACCCCGGCTGTCATCAGCACAGATGCTTTTTGGAAATGCAGCATCTAACCACATGCCATTTATCACCATGGGCAACTTCTAGGTGACTGCAAAACTTCCTCACCAGCTACTGCAGTCCAGAACAAGCGTCTACAAGTTCCGGCCGTATTATTGTCCAAACTGCACGTGGATCAGCAAAACGTTTCGGCCCGCGACCAAAAAAGCTTTCCGAGACCAAAAAACCGTAGGGCGAAATGAAGGGACGGTCTAGCATTCAAGAAATGTGAGTTTTGAATTGTCACACTTCGTCAGTTTGACGCCCACAAAAAGGCATGTAAGCAGACACCATTTTGACTTTATGCATTTCGCTTAATGACACTGCGGCAAAACGACATATCGACAAAATGGCATTCGACTAATTGCTTTTGGCGAAAGGCACAGGGCTAAATACGTTTAGGTTAATTGACCGGGTACCTTATTAGACACACCTAAAATTTCATACCCAGTATGAAAGGCATGTAAGCGGGGTAAACATGAATGTGATCCATTATCTGTCATTATATCTATAAAAGATAATTGCAGAATTGCAGAATTGCTGCAGAATTGTTCTTGTTTCTTTACAGCTTACATACCTGTTCACATCATCATTTTACGTTAGTGAGTTTGGTTTCATAGAACAAAATTATGAGTACTGGCAACGTAAAACAACAAAAAGTACATGACAGCTATTTCATAGACCTGGCAGCATTACATTGGTCTTGCCCCGGTGTACGCAGTTTTTTGTGCTTTTCAGCTCTGTCTAACAATACAAACGTGAAAATTTTGTCATCGAGTACGACGCTGGCATAAAACAAGTCCAGTTCGTATCCGACTCCAATGAGCTATGAATTATACCAAAACGTAGCGTTAATTAAAAAGGTATGGCAGAATTTCTAGGGGGGGGGGAGGATCCATCATAAAGACCAGGATCGCAGCGTCCAGTGTTCATATCATCCAGGATCGCAGCGTCCAGTGTTCATAAAGTCCAGAAAACGTCCAATTCCGCACCCATTGGGGACGTTCATAAGGTCCAGGACGTAAAGTCAAGTCAGTCGCAAAGTCCAGTGCAAACCGTCCGGTATCCATGGCAACCGGACTAGTTTGGATTCCTGGCGCTAGATTACACTACAAGAACATTTTTGAGTCCTGACGCTATTTCCCTCTTTTGTAACAGATGGCACAGTCAACCTGGCATTCCACTGATGATCACGTGATGCGTACAGCCAAGCATGGTTGATAAATACCTAGACATCTGGTGGCCGCGTCCGGCCAGCGCGCGGGCCGCGGCCCCGGGGCACACCGGCGGACTGGGCGCAGACGCGCCGGGCGGCGGCACGGCCGGAGGCATGGCAGCGGCGGCGGCGCGGCGGGGACCGCTGCGCCTGCTGGGCAAGCGGGCGCAGCGGGACTGCTGCCGAGACCCCAAATGCCGGGGTACACTCGGTTGCTGAGGGGTTCTTGATATGGTATATTGGGCTTTTTATATCGGGTTCTTTCCACTTGCTTGGAGTACCTCGTGCTGTTGCTGGGCCCCATATAGGTGACGCTCCGAGGGACTTTACCTTTTTAAGCTTATTTGCTGAGGCCATTCACTTGTCGGAGCACTCTCTGTTAACCTGCCTGGCACTCTTGATACAAGGGGTGTTAATTCATGTACACTGATCTTCAGTTGTTGCCCTTTGTTCAGGGAACCTGTACTCCGGCCGGGTCCTATATGTTAACCTGCCGGGGTGCTCCCGATCGTCCAGGGTTCCACCATATTGGTGAAGATTCTTTCTCGTTCGTTATGAAGACCCTTCACTGTTACTGGAGCCTTTTTATTGGCCTGCCCGCGGTAGTTTCGATCGCTGAGGTGCAGTCATTATTAATCTCGGGTTTTCCCTATTATAGGAGAGCCTACGCGCCGTTGACGGACCTAAAGCTTAATCACTTTTATTGGGTTTTGCTTCTTACCGGCCGATGGCTGAATTTGTGGCTATTTCGATTGCGTCGATGAATTCGTTCTCGTCATTGTTGAACATAATTGTACACGCCGCCGGTGTCGTGCACCTTAGTTACGTTGTTTATTTAATTTGTTGCGATTATTTTACTTTACGTTACGTTTTAATAGATTTTTAAGGATAAGATATTCTGTACTC